GTAACCATCAAAGAATGTTTTCTTCTGTGTTTAAACCTTTTCTTGAGTTCTTATAATAGTGGTCTTATACAGTATTTGTCCTTCTGTGACTGACTACATTCATTCAGCATAATGCCCTCCAGATTCCTCCATTTTGTAAGATGTTTCATAGCTTCATCCTTGTTCTCTATTGTTGCGTACTATTCCATTGTGTGAATATACCATAATTTGTTTATCCGTTCGTCCATTGATGGCCACCTGGGTTGTTTCCATCTTTTTGCTACCATGAACAAGTGCTGCAGTGAACATGGGTGTGCATACATCTATTCGTGTGATGGCTCTTATTTCTCTAGGATATGTGACGGCTCTTATTTCTCTAGGATATATTCCAAGGAGTGGGATTGCTAGATTGTATGGTACTTCTATTTCTAGCTTTTTAAGGAAGCGCAAATCGATTTCCAAAGTGGTTGTACCATTTTACATTCCCACCAACAGTGTGTAAGTGTTCTAGTCTCTCCACAACCTCTCCAACATTTATTATTTTGTATTTTTTGGATTAATGCTAGCCTTGTGGGAGTGAGATGATATCTCATTGCAGTTTTGATCTGCATTTCTCTAATGGCTAATGATTGTGATTTCTTCATGTGTCTGTTAGCTGCCTGAACGTCTTCTTTGGTGAAGTGTCTGTTAATATCCTTTGCCCATTTTTTAATTGGGTTATTTGTCTTTTTGTTGCTGAGGTTTAGCAGTATCTTGTAGATTTTAGAGATTAGAGGCTGATCGAATTTGTTGTAGTCAAAAATTTTTTCCCAGTCTGTAGGTTGTCTTTTTACTCTTCTGGTGAAGTCTTTTGATGAGCATAAGTGTTTGAGTTTTAGGAGCTCCCAGTTACGTAGTCTCTCTTCTGGTGCTTGTGCATTGTTTCTTATGGTTTGTGTTGTGTTCATGCCCTGTATTAGGGCTCCTAGTGTTGTCCCTATTTTTTCTTCCATGATCTTTATCATTTTGTATTTAAGTCTTTGATCCATTTTGAGTTAGTTTTTCTGCATGGTGTGAGGTATGGGTCTTGTTTCAGTCTTTTGCAGATGGATATCCAGTTACGCCAGCACCATTTGTTAAGGAGACTGTCTTTTCCCCAGTTAACGGACTTTGGGCCTTTGTCAAATATCAGCTGCTCATAGGTGGATGAATTTATGTCTGGATTCTCAATTGTGTTCCATTGGTCTATGTATCTGGTGTTGTACCAGTACAGGCTGTTTCGACTATCGTGGTGGTATAATAGGTTCTAAAATCAGGTAGTGTGAGGCCTCCCACTTTGTTCTTCTTCTTCAGGAATGTTTTACTTATTCGGAGCCTCTTCCCTTTCCATATGAAGTTGGTGATTTGATTCTCCATCTCATTAAAAAATGCCGGTGGAATTTGGATTGGGATTGCGTTGTATCTGTAGTTCGCTTTGGGTAGAATTGACGTTTTCACAATGTTGAGTCTTCCTGTCCATGAGCAAGGTATGTTTTTCCACTTGTGCAGGTCTCTTTTGGTTTCTTGCAGTAGTGTCTTGTAGTTTTCATTGTATAGGTCTTTTACGTCTCTGGTTACATTTATTCCTAAGTATTTTATCTTCTTTGGGCCTATTGTAAATGGTAATGATTTAGTGATTTCCTCTTCAAGGTTCTCTTTGTTGGTGTAAAGGAATCCAATTGATTTTTGTATGTTTATCTTGTATCCTGAAACTTTGCTGACATCTTGTATTAGTTCCAGTAGTTTTCTTGTGGATTCTTTGGGGTTTTCTGTGTATAAGATCATATCATCTGCAAATAGAG